TAATTTTTGCCTGATATTCACTGAATGGAAGAGCCTTATTCAGTACATTTTTTTTTACTTGTATACCTCATATGTTTTAAAATGTCCATGTCATCATGCATTTCTTTTTACACAACTGTATACTATTGTATGTACATAAAACAAATAAGAGTTCTAATTATGTAATTTTTTTGTGTATTTATGGAATCACTCTCCAGTGAGTTTTTTGTTCTGTGTTTTTCTTTGGTAAAACTTTATATTTTTCACTTTTTGTTGGTTTTAAGCTGTTTTCTTGCATCAAATAATTTGCTTGTTGATTTTAAAAGCAATAGCATGCAGAAAATGGTATATAGCACAATCGTGTAAATGTTGTTTGAATTAGTGATGGGAAATATCAAACACTTCTGTCGATAAATAGCCGTAATACAATTTGTCAAAGGGTTTACAACCACAGTACCATGTCCACAGGTGCATGTTATGTGCAGACGCATAAGAGCATGCAGGCAGGTACGAACACACTCACACAGACACTCTCTCTATCTCTTGCAAACACATATGCACAGACACTTTGCACATCACACACTTTGCACCATAGTTACACTTAAGAGCCAAGGTTAATTGTGTTCTCCACCAAATAGACCTGCTAATATCCTGCTTAATAATGAGGTTACCAATTCACCAACAAGGTGATCTCACTAACTAGCTGGGCCCACTGCCTCTATTTCTGCAAACAAACACATATACACATATACACACACACACACACACACACACACACACACACACACACATACAGATACAGATAATAGAGAAGATGAAAGCAATTATCAATTCAAATGTTCTATGCAATGACTCATTTTGAACCTGGAAGTGATTCTGCCTAAAGCAGTTTATTATCATCACTCTATTCACAAGAAAACAACAAAAGTATGAACAAAAATAGTCAGAAAAAATGGTCATGAAAATGTTTTTACTTAGCAACTTGTCTGTATGAATTTGAATTTTGAACTAGAATTGTTTTTATTTTCGTGGCATGTTTTGACCCCTCATTCCCCACACAGGGGACTTGTTGCCAAAGGGTAAACTGTGTAGACTGTCGGTTTTGAATGTCCACCATCATGTTGCTTTGAAGCATGGGTTTGCTTGGCTTTGTCTGGCTGTTTGTAAGCCCTCATTCAGTTTTTGTGCGTTTTGGCTGACATGGGCTCCTCAGTGTTTGGCTTGCAGTGACTGTCTGTGCTGCTATAAACCTGTGATACAGATGGCCAGCACTTCTCATTAATAATTGTCAATGTACATATTGGGTGTCAGTATAATCTGTGGGGTGAATGGAATGCTTCTAATGGATATTTCATTGTTGATTAAATCACTCAGCAGCCAAGCCATTGGAAAGGTGCATGATTAGATCTTATATTCTTGGAAGTGTACCTGAATTAAAAAAAGGTAAGGCATGATTACACCAAGGTTTGCCTAACGAACCTTGACTTTCACAGGCCAACGTAGAGAATATTGATGAGTAAAATGTTCAGCCAGTCACTCACCAATCAGGGCATGTCATTTTGAAAGCACAAGCCTGACTGGAAGCATTAGTTGCTCAATGAAATGCAGAAATATGGAGGTTACATAACAGTGCCTACAACTGAACAGTGTAAGATCTAAATCAAAGCAAGAGGTGGAAATGCTATCTGGCAGATATTAGGTGCACGAGACAAAACAGCCTTTAGTGAAGCCGTCTGATTGGCTGACACACATTCTTACTGTAAATACAAAATCATTCTTCTGTACAGCTTTTGAGTTCTGAGTACGGCTGTCATGTGCATCCCCATGCCGTATTTGCTGCCAACTTTTTGTGTATAAAAAGAATATTTATTACCACAATAATGAGGATGATGATGAAACTAATGATAATAATGATTATTATTGCATAAGCATAGTGTATGTGGCTGACTTGTATTGACTGTTTACAACAGTGGAACAAAACGTGTGTTCAGAAACATATTCAGTCTGTGTATAGTTTCTATACATATTGTGTTTGTAGAACAAGAAAAAGGACCCTCCTCAGCATTTACAGAGCAGAATGCCTTTGAAAGGCATCAGGAGGTCTTCGATTAAATGGATATGATCTGCAAGGTGATGAGGGTAAAGGGATGCAGTGAAAAAAAATGAAACAAAAAATCTGGAAAATGTCATTCACTGTTGTAAGTGCAATGGGCAAAATGTCAGTCGTGTATCCATTGTGAAACCTTGTGTTCTATTCAGTGTATTCCTGTAAACAGATAGAGTAAATTTTGGTGCATCATGTCAAGTAATGTGATTAATGAAAATATTGACCCTGCAATTTCCAAACAGAGAGAAGAATAAAAAGAAAAGGAATATATTGTGGTTATTGTCTTCAGTCTTTGTGTGTGCTTGTGTGTCACCTTTTTGTGTGTCACCTTTTTCCTTGCAGTGCTGATAGCGACACTGGGTAAGTTGTACATAGCTCTGCTGCAGACTGAAGAGAGATCAAGAGTAAACATTTGAATTCAACAAGACTGTTCAGTGTTCAGATAAGACCAGGATGTATTCGCTGAAGCAGTGATGACTTATAGTGGGTGGGAGGGGAGCAGGAGCAGCGAGAGGGGACGTTGCCAATGCAAAGAGATTGAGGTGTTAGTGTGTCAGATTTGTGACTGAGTCTGCATGTTTGTGTCAGGAAGAGAGAGATAATTGGAATATTCATCCATCCATCCATCTTCCGTGTCTTCAGTCATGTTTGAATGTAGCCTATGGTAAATGCAAACAGTGCAAAATTATGTATTCTTTTAAAAAACAATATCACCGGTTTTTTTTTTAAGGATCGAAATGTATACCGAGAAAACAGAGGTATCCATGAATTTTCACCCTTGACAAAACCTACATTATCCACAATGCAACTCGATCATAGACCCTTCAGTTGGGGACATTTTGTGTTTTCTGTTGTGTTGTGCTATAGCGGCTTATGTAGTATTGAGCAGTTAGCCACAAACGGGCATGGTAAGCTACAGATTCCCAAATGTATTTTGTTTTCAGATTTGTTTTATTTTCAGACCTGTAATCCTAAGAACCAACCAATGCTGACTCAAGTTACATATTTTGAAGTCATTTATCAGATGTCAAGCATCTTCCTCTAGTCACAAAAGGCTCTGTACAACTTTGTTTCTTTTTTAATATGGCAGTTGTACTCTCAAAGACCAGTTAACACAACCCATTCTGCAGCCTTCATATCCCTCAGAGCAAAGCATAACAGTAATGGTTACATCTGCAGATATTTGCTGCCCTCATCTGGTTAGATACATAAGTGGAAGCAGGATAAACCAACTATTGTAATACATTTACCTCTAAAAGATATGTTCTATTTAAAAAAAAAAAAAAGTTCCTACTTTGAAAAAGCAAGTAGTGTTAACTGTCAAATGTAATTGATTACTGTACGAAGTACTAATGGTATCCAAGAGTGGAAACAAGGAAAGACTAGAAATGGTACGTTTTGCAGCTGAAGTCACGTTGGTAGGCAGACTCTTGAATTCATTATGAACCAAGTTAAAGTCTTGAGTTGGGGTTGGTGTCTGGAAAGGGTATGGAAATATTATCAATGCATTTAGGCTGTCATTTGGCTTCACAAATCAATAATATACTGTATGAACATCTATCTCAAAATAGCGAAGTATAAAAATCCCTAATAAAACCAATATAAATAAACAGAAATGCTATATCCTTGATGTTAATCCTGCATTTAAAAGGTCAATCATATGGTCATCATTTTCAAAGACTACACTATGATGTGAAAAGATTGACCTGAACTTTCACCTAATTCTGCGGCTAAAACAAGGTCAATGGTTAATGGTTAATGAAGTCAGTCTCTGTACTATGATCTAATTTAAATTATGAAAGCTTGACAGATCTCTAAGCCTTAAAATATGAGCAGAATCTCGGGAAGAAATATCCGATGGTATTTAAAAGATTTAGACTCTTCTTTTCTTACTTGTGAAGTTGAACTTCGAGAAACAAAATGGAAAGTGCCAGTTTCAAGAGAGCTATTGACCCTGCTGTACCATACAATAACCAATCGCACAAAAGCAATTTGAAAATAAAGCGGGTGAGGACTTCATACAAGATATATTTTGTGTTGAAGATGATTGCAACATAGGTCAACGAAGGTTAAAACACCACTAAAGTTTCTGTATTAACTGACCCATAAATGAAAGTGTTGTGAAGCCTTAAGTGCTCAATCTTTGATCTAACAAGGATTTATTGCTAGGCCTGACAGCCAACTCTACAGCACTGGTGTCTAACTTGTTTCCCCCTTCAGGTCTAGTGAAGCGTATTTCACATCATGATATATAAATGTGCTGATCAACCCTCCGCAAAGACTGTTGGAGGTCACTCACTCTTTGTTACTTAAAACCTGTTAAGCCCCAAAGCCCCCCTCGGCGGGGGCTTTTTTTTCACGACACTGTGTCTCAGGGCATCTTAATATTTAAGAACCTATTAATGTGTTATACCAGATTAACGGGAAGAATCTCAGCTAACTGACGATACAAACCATGTTTACCAAAACACAAGTCTCATAAGAAGCATCTAAATGACCCCTGAGCGAAAAATGCTAACGCACTTTGGCACATACACTGAAAAAAGAAAATAATTGAACCAACTTAATTGAATTACTTCAATTGGTAACACACAATTTAATTAAGTTTTCTCAAATAAGGTTTTTAAATTATATTAACGCAAATTAATCAAGTCAGATGTAATTAAAAATGTGTTTTCTTTCAAATCAACAGTTTGCATTAATCCAGTTGACATTTTCCAACTTTTCCAACCCAATTATTTGCTTTACCCAAAAGTAAGATACTGCTCATTAACAACCTAAAACTACAGTTTCACAAAAAGTATTTATTTTAAGTAACCTCAGTATGAAATTTTAGTTTACTAAATATAATTTAAATACTTTATTCACAATTAAAATGTTAAGTTGGCTGAAAGACAAATCATGGACTCAAATATAATGTATGTATACTTTATTATATAAACATATAAAAACAACTTTCATTTGTCTTTCCTTAAAACAGTCTTTGGACAAAGTGTGTAATTAACAGACAAACAATAACAGTTACCTACACTGAAGTTAATGTGTTTTTCGAATGTGTTTTTGGTTATCAGCCTGAAATAGAGAGATGCAGTGATGACGTATTTTTGTAGGACGACCCTGAAGTAAGCTGCTGGTTCCCTCGACAAAAAAGCAATGGGATTTCTCCATAGGATTTGGAATATTGTAAAAAACATTATCTGTAGAAAACGAACCTGGTCGATAAATGCACGTTATGTTCAGCCAGCTAATCTCCACATGTCCGGCTGAACAAAACGTGCATTTATCAAACAGGTTAGTTTTCCACAGATCTTATTTATTTTACAATATTCCAAAATCCTGGAATAATACATTATACATCCTGACTGAATCCTGACTGATGGACAAATGGCTGCTTTAAGAGAAGCTGTTGACCCACGAGCTACATCCCAGTCCTTTGGCTCTGATATCTACATTGCTGCTGTTCAATTTTGTGAGCATGTTCTATCTGATGACTGAGAAAGAGAGCTTAGGTGTTTTTCTCCAATGTATCCAAATATGGCACAAACATCCACTTCACCTTTGTTTTCTTGTTATTTTACAGATGTATTATGTTTGTATGGCAGACAACTGTTCTGCTTTTGGAATCTTCAAATTGTATAGGAAAAATTATAATAAATTAACATTTGCAGAATGACAAATGTTCTTTTGTTTGTTGTTATGCGAACAATAGGATGTCAGATTTGATCAGACACATAAAATATTAAAGATACAATTGGTCAATTCATAAAATGGGAAAGACAATCTAAAAAAGGTCACGTTTGATATTTGATCACTGCTGCCTATTTGATTAGTTTCTTGGAGTTAATGAGCACGATTGACAGGTGCTTCTGACTACCCTCAGCTCTGATTGGTTGTTGTCCTTTAGCTGATCTGTAGACCCTCAGGTATGTGTAAACTACAGGTTATGAAGTTATCAGTATTTGCCATGAGAAGCAGGTAGTGATCTGTAATCTGCTGAAAAAACATCCATACTGTGCATCCCTAATACATATACTGGGCTGTCCAATATACAACAGGCTGATTCTGAACAGAAGAAAGGGAGGACTTTATTTAGTATTTCCTAAGCAGACAAATACTTAACACTGGAGTCAATGAACACCTCTGCCTTCTACCAACACATTACACAAGACCAAATCCTGTTTGACAAGTGCCAATACAAGCCAGCATTACATTTTCAAAGGATGCATAGTCCTTGTAATGCCCTGGGATGTACAGGGTCTCATAACAGGTTGAGGCAGTGGGGAAGCTGCCGTTGACCACCTCAATGGACAGATTATTCCGTGGCAGAATCTCCCACCCGGTCCAGAATTTCACCAGATTGGCCATTACATCAGGTGACGCTGTGGATTAACCAAAAGTTGTTTAAATGAATGGTTGCTACAATAAAGAAAAGTAAGTTAGGAAATTCAAATAATTTTTAGTAGTCAATTAAAGCATCACATTTGTTATCTGTAATGTAAGAAATAGTTGTAAAGTAGCTTTTTTGTTTTACTTGAGTGTCTTTGCACACCTGCATGTGTAGGACAGTTGTGTCGGAGTGGAGTAGAAAGCATATCCAAAAGTGGAGCGCACACAGGTTTGTAAGATCAGGAATGTAACATATTAGGTCTTATACTTAATATCATCATACTTTACTTCAATAGCATGTTGGCATTATTTCTAACTGTAAACATACCATTTTAATGAAGCGGCGAAGATATCCTGATACACGGCATTTTGTGTCAACTAAACAGTCGGCGTCCTCATCATCATCATCATCACGAGGCCAGGTGATGCACTGAAGAATGACCTACATTGACAGGCAGCCATATAAAATAACAACATGGTTACCGGACACTAGTGTGAGAAAAAAATCTCCCCCTTTCTTTGCTCCTGAGGTGCTGCAGAAAACGCAGCACACGGGGTCAGAGACAGGCGTGACCTCTGGAGGGGAAGAACATTTGAACAGACCACGGAGCGACCCATTAAACAACAAGGTTTGGGTTCGTTCTTCAGATGACTGTGACGTTAACGTGTAAGCTCAATAATGAACTCCAGCTCAACCAACCATATTGTAATATCTAAGTAATCATCTTGAAATATGACATTAATAATTGTAATATACACACATCTTATTGTGAGGTTGATTTCACATACACTACTTCGACATTAGCTTGTCTACATACTTGAGCATAGCCAATTTAAATTAACCTTAGATGCATACAGTTCTACCTACATAATAAAATATCTCTAAGTTACAAGGATGTAACCTTATTTTATCAACCTCAAACAGAAGCCGTTTGTTCAACAGTATTATCCCACTTAACACTTGTCTATTTCGTTTTAACCTTTATATACAGTCTATGATTTTAACTTGGAGGCTACGATTACAATCGTTAGCACCGATGTAGCTACCACTAGCTTACATGCTAACCCAAGCCTTACCATTGATTACGTGGCTGATTAAAATCATTAACACATAAATAAAGCACTAGAATTTCACTTACCGCAAAACCGCATTCATGCACCGTCTGTTTTAACCGCAGAGCGAGTCACAATAAATAAATAAATAAATATAAATAAATATGGTTTAAACCAAGCGGCAAACTGTGGGGTAGAGCCAAGCGGCAAACTGTGGGGTAGAGCCGTGTTGTGTCACATTATGCCTCCCCGTCATGAAATGCCCCCCTTGTCACGGGAACGCGCATTTCTAAATGACACGTTAACACCATAGCTTTACACCTTAAAACGATGTTTAAAACGAAAAGTAAACGTTCAGGGTTTTTATTAATGGTAATTTTCAGACTGTGAGTTGTTTAGTGGTAGCTCATAGTCTTGATTCTTCTGGTTTAACTTTTCGCTCCGTATTTGAGGTGTCGAAATTCGTTCGTCACTTCCTTTTCAGTTTTTTTTTAAAAATGTTTTTTTTTATCATTATTGTTACGTCCTGTCTGTATAAACGTGCTTTAAAATGTAGGCCTATTGTTTAATTGTACATAGTTGTCATATAATAATCAAAATATGTTTACAAATGTTACATAGTCTTTGTCAGCATATATGCTATGCGTACAAAATAAAAGTGTGACATTCATGAAACTTGCTCCATTTATTGGTACCAGTCCTAGAACCATACCCTGAAAAATGCTTGAGGGTGGGATTCATAGAAACCTCTTTTGGTGGGGGGGGGGCATTTTATGACAGGCCTGGGCATCACAATATGCCCCCCCTTTGCTATCTTACAAAATGAAAGTGTGACATTCATGAAACTTGCTCCATTTATTGGTACCAGTCCTACAACCATACCCTGAAAAATGCTTGAGGGTGGGATTCATAGAAACCTCTTTTGGGGTGGGGTGCATTTTATGACAGGCCAAACAATAGTTGCATTGGTTGAAATGACAGTGGACAGTTAATGATGGTTCCTTCGGGGCATTATGTGCATCCAGGGCACAAGTACGGTTGATCAACTGGCGGCCTTTGTACACATTGGTGGTGGTACCACTGCTGACAAATGTCACAGCAAATCTGAGAAAACAATAAATACTTGTTATGTAAGGAATGCATTATGGGATTTTGTTATGATAATAGAATATCTCTAATGTATTTCCCACTAACATTCTAACCATTCCTTCAATTATCGAAATCTTTCAAAAACATAAATGTTGTGTTATGAGAAAGAAATACATTTTCAACAAAAATGTATGGAAAAACAAGCAAAACATTAATCCTTTATCAGTTAATGCTGAAGATGCCAAATATAGTAGCAATTACCAACGCAAATGTTATGTTGATAAAGTCTGGAAACATATTTCTGCTAATTTTCTTTATTTGTAATGTGCAATAGGAAATTACCCAATGTTCTTCATCCTGCTCCTCCATCCCGCAGTAAAAGCAAAGCCTGCTTAGATCATCTGTTGAGACAAAAAGTAATCAATATCTTCAGATAAACCACATTGCAGATTTGGGGTCAAGGTGACCCATTCCAATTTTTGACTAAAAGGTTAATTATATAAGGACACATTTGTTGTGGTCTTTTATTATTTTGTGTGAAGAAAAGGCAAAACACACACAAACACATAGATTTTCTAAATGATTAAATCTGAGCACAGAGGAGCCATCTGCTCCTTCTTTCACTCTCTCATTACCCTCTTTAGAATGGGAACCTGCACAATGTCATTACAAAACATCCAAAAACTTATTTCGCACTGTACGCATCAATTTAAGTTTGGTTCTCATGGTTCTTTTGTTGTTCATCACATGTATTAGCTTTACAGCTTTGATTATAATAAGTTCAAGGTAAAAATTAACTGAGGATATCAGTTAAAAGTAATACACACCAATGAGCACATTGAAAGGAGGAAGATGGGGAAATCTCACATCTTAAATAAACCGCAGAATTGAAAGGGTGTGTTAGAGTGTGACGTGTGTAGCCTATATGAAATTGCAGTTGAAGATGCCTGCCTGCGATGCTTCATATGTTATCTGTTTGGAGTTGAGATACACAATATACTGTATGTAGTGACTATTTACCCTAATCTATACTTAAGCCACTGTGTTGCTTTTAAAACCCTGATAATTTCCCTGGTCAATATTAACCCAACAGTACCAATGGTCCAAGCAGTGATACAATACAACAATTTGCATGGCACATTATTAATATACTAGGTTATTGATGCATACTTATGAGATACAATTAATAAAAGTAACTACATGAAGTCATTGACAATGTTGAGAAAAGGTAACAAACCAGATTCTCTGAGGAGAGAAGTAGCAATGTCCAGCCTCAGCTCGTGCACTGCCTTCTGTGAGGTTTCAAACTCAATTGCCTCCCCCAGTAAAATGTTCTCTGCAAACTGAAAAGAACCTTGATTAGTATATGGACTGCATGGTCTATGATTTTACCCTCAAATAGAATACAGACAAATGACCCAACAGATTTAAAGAATGACATGTTGTATATGTGTAGTTTGACACAATTCAATACATCTTTGATCAAGATGTATAAAAGCAAGTCAAGATATTCAGTCTAATTGCTACTGAATTTGAGTTTGAGAGTAATGTTTGGCTAAATGCATTTCACACTCACTTTTAAGGCCAGGACACCACAGGATGTGCTGTCTTGTTGGCGATTATGGGGGAGGGTGCTGCATGTCCATCTTGACACCTTGCAGCCTTTCATCCTCATAAAGGCTCTACAGTATGTAGATAGTACATGTGTCAAGATGCAGCACATCATTGTCAAAATACTCATAAAACACCGGAACTAGTACACTGTATCAAATGTACCTTGTAGACTGCAGGCACACCTTCGTTTTGCCTTTCCCTTCTCCAAGTGGATCCAAGAAGAGGGTTTTCTTCTCATGGGGGTACATTACCTTTTATTATTCACATGGAAAAACAACATGCATTAGGCAGGAACCATACATTACGCAGGTACGATGTAGGGTATTGTTTAGATGTTATCAATAATAAGTGACAGCATGTATGTGTGGCCCGGTTATCTTGCAAATCACTAATTATATATGGTGTATACAGCACTATAGATACAGATTGGAGCTTAAAATATGCTCCTATTCTCACCACCAACATCCAGTGATGGTTCTCGTTCACAATTCCCACGATGACTGTGTGTGCCATTGGATCAACCTGAGAGTAGTTGCAAAAGTATTACATTCCTGTTGAAAAATGCACATTTGCAACATTTACAAAAGCAAAGTCATTCCAATCATGTACATACCCGGATTCTTCCAAATTTGTGTTTCCAGATGGCGGTCATAGCGTAGCTGTCAATAACAGCTGCTTGACCGTCATTGCGCTGGTTGAATTTTCAGGGTATGGTTCTAGGACTGGTACCAATAAATGGAGCAAGTTTCATGAATGTCACACTTTTATTTTGTAAGATAGCAAGGGGGGGCATATTGTGATGGCCAGGCCTGTCATATAATGCCCCCCCCCCCCCACCAAAAGAGGTTTCTATGAATCCCACCCTCAAGCATTTTTCAGGGTATGGTTCTAGGACTGGTACCAATAAATGGAGCAAGTTTCATGAATGTGACACTTTTATTTTGTAAGATAGCAAGGGGGGGGCATATTGTGATGGCCAGGCCTGTCATATAATGCCCCCCCCACCAAAAGAGGTTTCTATGAATCCCACCCTCAAGCATTTTTTCAGGGTATGGTTCTAGGACTGGTACCAATAAATGGAGCAAGTTTCATGAATGTGACACTTTTATTTTGTAAGATAGCAAGGGGGGGGCATATTGTGATGGCCAGGCCTGTCATATAATGCCCCCCCCACCAAAAGAGGTTTCTATGAATCCCACCCTCAAGCATTTTTCAGGGTATGGTTCTAGGACTGGTACCAATAAATGGAGCAAGTTTCATGAATGTCACACTTTTATTTTGTAAGATAGCAAGGGGGGGCATATTGTGATGGTCAGGCCTGTCATAAAATGACCCCCCCCCCCCACCAAAAGAGGTTTCTATGAATCCCAACCTCAAGCATTTGTCAGGGTATGGTCATCACAGAACGAACCCAAACCTTGTTGTTTTTATTAATTGTATTACCAAATGGGTATCAAATAAACAGTAAGCATTGGTAACACAACTTCCAAAGTTACAGTAAAATAAAAAGGCCCCTGACTCGGACAATACACAATCCAACATGTTCAACAGAAGATAATCAGTTATATTGTTTGTACACATGGTACTTTACATATATATATATCTGTTTGTTTAAGGTGTCCAGGTGATGCAGACAGGCTGGACCAGAGAGTGAGAGACAGAACTGGACTCCTCACAGCAGTGAACT